AGAGGATCCAGTTCAAAATCCTGCTCCTCAACTACAAAGTCCTCAATGGTCTCGCCCCACCCTATCTCCCTGTGACCTCCTAACCACTTATCAGCCTGCACGCTCCCTCCGCTCAATCGGCTCCAGCCTGCTCCATGAGGGGCGGGGCCCCCACGGGGAGCCGGGGCCACCATGGGGAGGTATGCCCACCACAGGGAGGTGGGGCCACCATGGGGAGGTGGGGCCACCATGGGGAGGCGCGGCCACCATGGGGAGGTGGTGCCACCATGTGGAGGTGGGGCCCCCATGGAGAAGTGGAGACACCATGGGGCGGTGGGGCCACCACGGCGAGGTGGGGCCACCATGGGTCGGCGGGGACATCATGGGTCGGCGGGGCCACCATGGTGAGGTGGGGCCACCATGGGGAGGTGGGGCCAACATGGGGAGGTGGGGCCCCCACGGGGAGCCGGGGCCACCATGGGTATGTATGGCCATCACAGGGAGGTGGGGCCACCATGGGGAGGTGGGGCCACCATGGGGAGGTGGGTCCACCATGGGGAGGTGGGGCCACCATAGGGAGGTGGGAGTAATTGAGGATTACATTATAATGCAATGTTTGGGATCATAAAGTCCGCAGTGATGGTGAGAATGGAATTCCAATTAAACTCGGACACCTCTTAAGTCCTTAAAAATGTCCGTCCCCGATACGTCCGGCTTAACCGGCTTCAACTGTATCTGTAGCATCTCACCCACCATGGGGAACCGGAGAGGGCGGGGGAAGTCCAGCAAGGCTGAGGTGGCTGAGCAGAGGGAGTGAGCAGTGGATTCGGGCAGGAGGAGATCAGAGATAAGGAGATGCCAACGAGGGGATGGATTTGTCAGTGAGGGTGAGGACCTTGAAATTGATCCACTGGGAGATAGGAAGCCAGTGGAGGCTGGCGAGGCCTGGGGTGATGGGCATACAGAGTGAGAATGTGGGCAGTGGAGTTTTGGATGAGTTGCAGCTTGTGAATGGGGGAGTTAGGGAGACCAGTGAGGAGTGTGTCGGGAAAGCGAGAGTGGGAGCCAGACACCAAGGCTGCACACTGGTACAGAGAGGTTAGAGGCCAGAGAGAATCAGGAGGTCAGAGCCAGAAGAGAGGAGACATTGGCAGGAGCCGTGGAGGATGGCTTCCATCTTGATGTAGATGTGCCATGGAGCGGATGGATTTGCGGGTGAAGTTGAGAAGGTTGATATCATGTACCGTAAAGAGTAATTTTTGGCTCATCCAGATAACAATTAGCACTTAAAATAATAATAAATAATAATATCCTTGCATTTGATATAGCGCTTTTCACGCCTTTGAGACGTCTCAAAGCGCTTCAAAGAATATACTGTAAAGTGAATTCACTGTATATTTTTTGGCAAAATGCGGCAGCCAATTGCGCACAGCAGTGTTCCCACGAACAGTCTTGGATTGAAACTACCAATTTATTATTGTTTTTTTTTCTTGAGGGATTATTTCCCTTCAAGTGCATTTTCTCATTCCAGGCAACATCACTGCTCAACCTCTCCTGTACTGCCTCCAGGAGCTCAACATCTTTCCCATAATGAGGAGTTCAAAACTCCACCGAGTGTCCAACTGTGCTCTTTTATGGTTACTCCAGTAACGTAACATTTCAGAGTGTCCAGAATTTGTCAAATCCTTAAACACAGCCTCATTTCTAAGGTCTGTTTTCTGTCAGTTTCTTTTAAAAACTACTGAAAACAAAGTTGAGGCAATTTGCCAAATCCTTGAGGCTCTGAAATGCGACATTAACAGTAAATCTGGACTCGGATGGAGTTGAACCAAATTATTCTGTCACCAATAGACTGATCAGTCGGTGCTCAATGTAGAGAATTCTCGGATAATTGACCCTCATACAAAAGCAGCTGATGGTGAAGTCCTGGTCCTTACCTGCAGTGGGTACTTGTTGGAACAAATCGATCAGTGAGATAGACTTTGCTGATAGTCACCGTCAACAGCGATATCCAGAGCGACTGTTGCTGCTGCTTCAGCCCCACCCGCACTGTGAGAGCTTTGTGCAAATATCTCCTGTCTCCAACTGCTCCACTCACACACCCAGTGACAGGGGAGGGCGGTCTCACAGAGAGGGTCCAGTGAGAATCCAGTGCAGCGCTGCCTCACTGGGTACCAGGCAGGGAGTCTGGGGGCAGGTTGTGGCTGTGAGGGGGTGGGGCCACCAGGGGGAGGTGGGGCCACCATGGGGAGGTGGGGCCGCCATGGGGAGGCGGGGCCACCATCGTGAGGCGGGGCCACCATGGGGAGGCGGGGTCAACATAGGGAGGCGGGGTCACCATGGGGAGGCGGGGTCACCATGGGGAGGCGGGGCCACCAAGGGGAGGTGGGGTCATCATGGGGAGGTGGGGTCACCATGGGGAGGCGGGGCTACCATGGTGAGGTGGGGCCACCATGGGGAGGCGGGGCCCCCATGGGGAGGTGGGGACACCATGGGGAGACGGTGCAACTATGGGGAGGCGGGGCCTCCATGGGGAGGCGGGGCCGTCATGGGGAGGCGGGGCCGCCATGGGGAGGCGGGGCCGCCATGGGGAGGCGGGGTCACCATGGGGATGCGGGGCCACCAAGAGGAGGCGGGACCACCAAGGTGGGGGAAAGTCACCAAAGGGAGGCTGTGCCATGAAAGGGGAGGTGGGGCTACAACGGGAGGCGGGCACCCCAAGGGGAGGCAGGGTCAACAACTGGAGGCGGGGTCACCAAGAGGAGGCGCAGATGGGAGTGGGGCTACAGTACGTGACGTGAGGTCGGGAGAGATGGTGGCAATGCCTATGTGAGGCTTTGTGGTGGGAAGGTCTTCAGATGAAAGTTAGTGTTTGAGATTCCCTCAAGGAGGGTAAGGAGGGTAAGGAGCTCGAATGAGGGGAATGAGCCAGAGCAGTAAGGGGATAGAGTAAGTGAGGTCCTGGAGATGAGGGTCATACCACTGCCACGGTGGTTGGGATGTGAAGAATGATGGGAGGTATAGCTGGGTGGTGCGGCCTCAGTGAGGGGGAAGCTGTCGTCTGGGGTGTTACTGATGTCGATATTTTCATCATCGATGAGGTCATTGATGGTCAGAGCCTTGTTGCAGAGGGAGTAGACATTTTGAAGGCTGGTGCGGAGGGGACAGTTGCCAGGGGAATGTGTGAGACCTGAGGGGATGATGGAGGGATTGGCAGGGAGGATGGGAATGAAGATGCGGGAGGAGAGATTGTGCCCCGGGGTCTGGGTCAGGCGGGGCTTGTGGTGATAGTGGGGAATGGGGCACTCAGTGCGGCTGCTGCTGGACAGCCAATGCCGAGTGCCACGGTGGGCCCGAGAGTGGACACACACATGGTCACCCTGTGCTGAGTGGTAATTTATACCTGAGGACCATCACAGCCATCCGAGTCAATCCATTCACACGCTTTCTATCTGAAGTCACTGACAGCAGCCATTGATTAGGGTTTACTCCCTGGGGATGTGATGTGATAGTGTTAGAATAACTTACAAGTGAAATCTTCATAACAGTAACCATCACATCAGCAGCAAAGGCAATGCTGTGGCTATTTCCCAACAGTCACATTACTGTACGATGTAACCGGGTGAACCTGTCTGGTAAGCTCCAACCTTACAGCCCACAGATCCCTTATATGTGCTGTGACCCATTGCAGTATTGACACTTGGCAGATGAAATAAAGACCAACATTGTGTAACAGGAGAGGAAAGGCATTCGGTATAATCAGGTAATTCTGGATCATGGAATTACCTTTGTCATGTGAAGTCCTGTAGCTCAGTGGTTAGAGCACTCGCCTTGCAAGCGAGAGACCTGGGTTCAGCAGGGCGAAACCTTGGGCAGGTTGCCTTACTCCATACGCCTGATAATAATCCCTCAAGAAAAGAAAATGAATAAATTGGTGACTTCAATCCATGATTGTTTTTGGGACACTGCTGTGCGCAATTGGCTGCCACAAATATACAGACAATTCACTTTACAGTGTCAACATCTACAATTTGCACAAAGGTAACATTATGATTTATGATTGGATGAAGGAAATCTATCAACAGAATTTGTTTTCTTGTTGTGGCTTAGTATTTTTATATTTCAATAAGATTAAAACTTCCATAATTTACTGACCTGAATAGTTGTAGTAAATGAGATCACAGAATGCTAACCTGAAAAATCCCTTGTCTGGTGTTACTAAAGCAGATCACAGACCTGGGATTAATGCTACCCCTGTCCAGGTGTACTATAAATGCATCTGAGATATTACTTGTGTCCAAAATGTTCAGAGTTAATTTATACAGCGTCATGAGTTTGAGTAATTTGAATTGTTTTGGAACACTAAAAGCAAAGTCATTTAATTAAATATAACTTTAAACTTACATAATTAACTGATACTCCAGTGCAGTGAGAGGGGTGCCTTGCATTGTTGCCGGTGTTGTCCTCAGCTGAGACATTACATTGAGGTCCTGTCTGTCTGTTCAGTGGACATTAAGGGCTCCACAGCACTATTCAGAATGAAAAGTGGGTTTCTCCCGGTGTCTTGGCCAACAATCCCCTGGATCATTGAATAACACAATTCTAACCTGGAGGATACCAAGCCTTAACATGGGTGTAAGTACTGGGATTGTTTATTGCAGTGGGAAGAAGCTGTTTCTATTAAACACACATTGTTTCTATTAAACACAGGTTCCTCCGGGTCTGGCCTCCTCCTCATCCCCCGAGTCCTCCGCTCCACCCTCGGTGGCCGTGTCTTCAGCCACTGCGCCGCGAGGCTCTGGAACTGCCTTCCTCACTCCCTTCGTCTTGTTCCCTCCCTTCCCATTTTCAGGTCTCTGCTGAAGACTTTTCTTTTCGACCGCACCTTTGGTCACCTTCACCCCCTCCCCACCCCACCCCGCCCACCCTGGCTCCTCCCCCTCCCACCGGCTCCTCCCCCTCCCCCCAGCCCCTCCGCCTGGCTCCTCCCCCTCCCCACCGGCTCCTCCCCCTTGTAGGGGATTGCAGAGAGTGAAGGACACACTCCGGTCAGTATCTGTCTCTTTACACATTCACTCTGTCTGTTTGCTCCTCTGTCCCACAATGTCTGACAGTCACTTCCTTTAACAGTGTATCCACAGTGATATCCTACACACACAGCTTCTTGTTATATACTGTACACATACACTCCAGTTATATCCTGTATACACACACCCTCCCCCTCCAGGTATACTGTACACATACTCTCCAGTTATATCCTGTACATATGCACTCCAGTTATATACTGTACACACACACTCCAGTTATATACTGTAAACATACTCTCCAGTTATATACTGTACATATGCACTCCAGTTATATACTGTACACACACACTCCAGGTATATACTGTTGATATACAATCCAGTTATATCCTGCACACACATACCCTCAGGTAAATATTTTACACACACACACTCCAGGTATGTATTGTATAAACACACCCTCCAGGTATATAATGTACACACACCCTCTCGTTAAATACTGTACACATACACTCCAGTTATATCCTGTACACACCGCCTCCAGTTATATCCTGTATATACAGACCCTCCAGGTATATACTATACACACAAACTCCAGGTATGTACTGTGCACACCCACTAGTCATATACTGTACACAAACTCTCTCCACATATATACTGTACAGACATACCCTCCAGTTATATACTGTCTACAACCCTCCAGGTATATACAGTACACATACACCCTCCGGGTATATACTGTACACACACACCCTCCAGATATATACTGTACACACACACACTCCAGGTATATACTGTACACACATATTCTCCAGGTATATACTATACACACACCCTCCATTTATATACTGTACACACACACTCCAAGTATATACTGTACACACACACTCCAGGTATATACTGTACACACACACTCCAAGTAATCATTGTACACACACACTCCAGGGATATTCTGTAGCTATACCTTTCATACTCTCCCTCTCTACCTTCAAAAGTCTTCTAAGAATCTGTCTCTTTGGCTGTGTTTTCGATCCCCTCGCTTCTCGCCCCCATCTCACACCTCGCTCGGGCTCCCAATCCAACTGATCAAATGTTTGAGACCTCTCCCTACATGATAAGTAACGTGTCAATATAAGTTGTTTTTGATGGCCAACATTAATTAAACCTTCATATTAATCTTTGATTTCAGAGATCAAATGGCTGCCTCCAAGTTCTTCCATTCTGATGAAATCATTGGACTACAATCTGATTATAAGACTGGTGGATTAGGAGCCATTCTATCTCAGATAAGGAATAAATGTAGTCACTTAGACGAGGTACAGGTTAACATTGCAGTGGCAGGTGAAGCAGGCTCAGGGAAATCCACCTTTATCAATGCCATAAGAAATCTTCAGAGCAACGCTCAGGGAGCTGCTCCGACTGGTCACTGTGAGACCACAACTGAGCCAACCATGTATCCCTATCCACATCTCCCCAATGTTCAGCTCTGGGACCTTCCAGCAGTAAATAGCTGTGGTTTGGGAATGAAGCGTTATCTGGAGCTGGTAAAGTTTGAGAGCTACGACTTCTTCATCATTGTGGCTCAGGCTCGCTTCAGGGAAAATGATGCTGAACTGGCCAAGAAGGTCCAGGAGCAGGGCAAACTGTGCTTCTATGTCCGATGTAAAATAGACAATGATCTGCACTCACTGGCAATGGAAGGAGCTGAGTTTACAGAAGATGAAGAGATGAAGACAATCCGGATGGACTGTGTGGCCAACTTCCAATACACTAACATTAAAATACCCCCATTTTTCTGATATCAAACTTTAAATTGAACAAATATGATTTTCCTGAACTAAGGACGAACCTCGTCAGACATGTCCCGATGATCAGGTCACAGGGTTTCACACTCGCACTCCCCGAAATAACCAGGGAGATTATGGGACAGAAGATAAGATCGATGGTGAACAGAATCTGGCTGTTGGCTGTGCTGGCCGGTGCTGTGGGTGCGGTCCCACGGCCAGGCTTTTTTGTTTGTGACTAGCATTGGGCTGGTAGTCGCAGGACTCGTATATCTCCAGCGTGAGGTTGGACTGGATTACGGGTCTCTGTACAGAGCGATCAGCTCATTCCGGGAGGAGCCCATGAGCATATGGAAAACTGTAAAGAAGCTTTGTTTACTGAGTAAACTGTCTCCAGTGCTGTTGGCCACCGCTGTTGGCTGCACGGTGGCTATGAAGGAACGTGGCTTCCCTCCAGTGACCATCTCTCTCCTCGGAGCAGCAGTGTCCTCGTGGTTCACCGTCACGGTCCTGACGGACGCAGTGAGGCAGCACGTGGGAGCCGCACAGAGAGCCGTGAAAAGCATGTTTGATAAAGATTCATTTTATCTTCTGTAATAGGTCCGCAATACAACCCCTTCCCCCCATCCCTGTCACTCAGGCCTGACCCCACCCACAGTCCCTGTCACTCAGGCCTGACCCCACCCACAGTCCCTGTCACTCAGGCCTGACCCCACCCACAGTCGCTGTCACTCAGGCCTGACCCCACCCACAGTCGCTGTCACTCAGGCCTGACCCCACCCACAGTCCCTGTCACTCAGGCCTGACCCCACCCACAGTCCCTGTCACTCAGGCCTGACCCCACCCACAGTCCCTGTCACTCAGGCCTGACCCCACCCACAGTCCCTGTCACTCAGGCCTGACCCCACCCACAGTCCCTGTCACTCAGGCCTGACCCCACCCACAGTCCCTGTCACTCAGGCCTGACCCCACCCACAGTCCCTGTCACTCAGGCCTGACCCCACCCACAGTCCCTGTCACTCAGGCCTGACCCCACCCACAGTCCCTGTCACTCAGGCCTGACCCCACCCACAGTCCCTGTCACTCAGGCCTGACCCCACCCACAGTCCCTGTCACTCAGGCCTGACCCCACCCACAGTCCCTGTCACTCAGGGCTGACCCCACCCACAGTCCCTGAACCCTATCATGTACCCACTGAATAGAATAGAATAGAATAGAATCTTCCAGCACAGAAGGAGGCTATTCAGCCCATCGAGTCTGTGCGGCTCTTTGAAAGAGCTGCCAGGATATGGGTTCATGCCCACAGCAGGACTTGGAAGTGCATAGTCTAAGGTGTCACTCCAATGCAGTGCTGGGGGGTGGGTTATAGATTCATAGAATGTTATGGCACAGAAGGAGGCCATTCGGCCCATCGAGTCTGTGCGGCTCTTTGGCAGAACTCTAACCCCAATCAGCTTTCTCCCCATAACCCTACAAACCCGTCTTCCCCAGATACCTATCCAGTTCTCTCTTAAAAGCTGTTATCAAATCAGACTTCACTGCCCTTTCGGGCGGATCATTCCAAATTCGAACAACTCGCTGAGTGAAAAAAATTCTTCTAACCTCCCCTCTGCTTCTTTTGGTAGATATCTTAAGACTGTGACCGCGGGTCACAGACACACCTACCAGCGGAAACAGCTTTTCCCTATCTCGCCTGTCGAAACCTTTCATGATCTTGAAGACCTCTATCAGGTCCCCGCGTAACCTTCTCTGCTCTAATGGGAAAAGTCCTAACTTCTCCCGCCTGTCCTCATAGCTGAGCTTCCCCATTCCTGGTATCATTCTCGTTGTATCATTGGAGATGCCGTCCTTCAGATGAAACTTGAAACCGAGATACCATGTCCCTGTTCAGGTGGACGTTAAAGATATCTAATGTACCTACAGATGTATATATCTGTGTGTGCGTGTTATCTCTCTGTTACTGTGTATATATGTGTCTATCTATATAGAATCATAGAATTATACAGCACAGTTATCAATTATCTTCCGCCCCCCTCCCAAGCCCTCCCCAACTTCCTCCCCGACATCTCCACTCTCCTATCTTCCATCTCCCTCTACTCTGAACGCCTCCTCATCCTAAGCGATTTCAACCTTCACCCCTTCCTGCTCTACCTCTGCTGACCTCTCCCTTATCTCCTCCCTCAACCTCTCCCGCCAGATCCACTCCTCCACCCCCGTCCGAGGTCACCCCCTGAACCTGGTGATCACTCAGGGCATCTCTGTCTTGGACCTCACCATCATCGATAAAGCTATCTCGAACCATCACTTCATCTTCCTGAATTCCTCAATCCCTCTTCCCACCACCACCCAACCTCAACCTCCTACCACCCGGAAAAAAATCTCCCCCCTCTTGGCTGCCTTGGAGTCATCTGAACTCTTTCCCCTCTGGGCTTCCTCTCGCAATGACCTATCCTTCTCGGTCACCCTTCTCCACAGCTCCCTCTCCTCCACTCTCGATTCCCTTGCTCCACTCACCTGAACTGACTCCTCCTCACGAGAGTCACCGTGCTCCCTTGCAGCACAGATACGAACCGCTGAGCGCACCTGGCTTAAATCAAACTTAACTGTCCATTGGCAGATACGGTTGGACCTTATCAAATCCTACCGCTCCACCTTCGCCTCCGCTAAATCGTCGCTCTACTCCGAGACAATCTTGGAGGTCAAGGAGAACCCCAGGCTCCACTTCTCCATCACCAACTGGCTCCACCACCCACCCTCTCATGCCTCACCCATCCTCACCTCCAATTCCAACTGCAAGGCAATGCTGCACATCCTCGAATCCAAAGTCGAGGGTATCTGCTCAGTTCCCTCTGTCCTTCTATCTCCATCTCCCCCTCTCATCTTAGCCCCTACCCATCCCACATCTTCGAACCTGTCTCCCACTCCTCTCTCTATCACTACCACTATAACCCGCATGAGACTGACCACCTTATCCCTCGACACCATCCCTCCCCCTCTCCTTAACTCCAAGCTCCATCTCCTTGCCCCTCTACTGACAGACATTATAAACCTCTCCCTGTCAACTGGTACTGTTCCCACCCAATTAAAAACAGCCGCCATCACTATTATCTTTAAGAAACCCTCCCTGGACCCATCACTGCTCTCAAACTATCACCCCATCTCCAACCTCTCCAATGTTCTGGAGTGAGTTGTTGCTTCCCAGCTTTGTTCCTTCCTCTCTCACTACTTCCTTTATGAACCCCTCCAATTAAGTTTCCGTGCTACAAAAAAATTACATTTATAGAGCACCTTTCACGTCAGGAGGACATCCCAGAGCACAGAAACAGCCCTGGTCAAAGTGACAAGTGACGTTCAGTCCATCTGTGACCAGGGCTTCCTCTGCCTCCTCGACCTTCTTGACCTCTCTGTTGCCTTTGACACCACTGACCACTCTATCCTCATCCACCACCTGTCCTTTCACCTGAACTCTATTCATTGAGAAAGATTTCAAAATTCAGAGGATCATTCTGGAGTCATGCTGGGGGTGGGGAAAAGTGCATCGTAAAGGAATTTTAATACTTTAGCTAAAGAGGGAGAATGAACTGATAATTAAAATGGCAGAGGCTGGATGGAACAAGGCAGCACAGAGAGGAGCTGCCCCGTACATGCAAATATTCTGCAAGACCAGAGAGACCTTCAGAGCTGAAACCTGCGCTACACACAGTCTGGGCTCAACCTCATTTCTGCACAATAAACAGAACAGACTTCCGTTCCCATTGTGGTGTGTGAGCATTGCCGCTTCGCTCTGACACTGCACCAATCCCCAGACTGCCAATTGCGCACAGCAGTGTCCCACAAACAGTCGTGGTTTGAAAATGACCAATTTATTATTGTCTTGTTTTGGAGGAATTATTAGTAGGTGTGTGAAGTAAGGAAACTTGCCCAAGGTTTCTCACTTGCAAGGCGAGTGCTCTAACCACTGAGCTACAGGATACTGTATAGTATATTCTGTGAAGCGCTTTGAGACATCTCAAAGACATGATATTACGCGATATCAAATGCAAGGATTATTATTTCTGTAGAGTGCAGTGACTGTGTTTTGTGGTCATATTGGTTGTTTGCTCCTCATCCCAAGAGCACAGTGGAGCCCAAGCTGGAGACATGAGTGTGAGGGTATCAGGCTACGTGAAGCAGGTTATTGTGATTACAGTCCCGGTGGAAGCTGTGAGGACATGTTACGGGCAGTGATGTTGGAGAGGCTTAGGAAGCTGTGATCACAATGCTGGGGACAGGAAGCCAATCATAACAGGAACCGGGCGGAAACAAGTTTCTTTCAATCTTCCTTCAGTCGGTCTCCAAAACACCAAAATATTACAATATTGTTTTCTTTCTCCCGAATTACAGGGGTAACATTTCTTATGTGTTAAGTCTTGTCTTAAAATTGTATAACACCTTTCACATCAGGAGGATTTCCTAAGATAATAATAATAATAATCCTTGCATTTGATATAGCACCTTTCACGTCTTCCAGACGACTCAAAGCGCTTCACAGAATATGCTGTAAAGTGAATTGACTGTGTATTTGTGGGAGAAATGCAGCAGCCAATTGCACACAGCAATGTCCCACAAACAGTCATGGATTGAAATCCAATTTATTATTGTTTTTGCAGGGATTATTATCAGGCGTGTGGAGTAAGGAAACTTGCCCAAGGTTTCGCCCTGACTGGAATTGAACCCAGGTGTGTCGCTTTCAAGGTGAGTGCTCTAACCACTGAGATACAGGACTCCACAAGATGTTGGACAGTCAGGGATTGACTGAGCTGGGGTTCCATATCAGGAAGGGTTGTGGGCAGGAAGGGAAGGAGGGTGGTTGAAGAGGAGGGTTTTGAGATGCATCCTGAAGGAGACAAGGGAGGGAGCAAGTCAAAGGGAATATGGGATGGAGTTCCATAGGATGGGGGCAGAAAGGCTGAAGGCTCAGCGGCCGCTGGTGGGGTTGGCTGGGCGGGGGATGTGGAGCAGGCCAGAGCCTGCTGAGCGGAGAGAGCGGACAGGTTGATATGGGATCAGCAGGTCACAGAGATAAGGAGGAGCAAGGCCATGGAGAGAGGGCCTTGAGGACGAAGAGTTTGAACTCTATCCTCTGGGGGATGGGCAGCCGGTGGAGCTGGATGAAGGTGGGGGTGATGGGGTCACGGAGCCTGGTGCAGGAGAGGTAGGATCTGAACAACTTAAGGACAGATCACAAAGAATGAGGTGAGAGGAGAGATGGTGGAGGAGGAGTGTTCAATGGTATCAATGGCAGCAGAGAGATCAAGGAGGATGAGGAGGCAGAGGGAGCCCTGGACAAAATGTCATTTTGCACTTTGACCAAAGTCGTGGGCGGCATGGAAACCTGATTTGTGAAGGTTTGTGAAGCAAATGGTGGGAGCGGAAGGAGCAAAACTAGGAAGCATTCCAGGACCTTGGAAAGGAAAGGAAGGTTTGAGATGGGACGGTAGTTTGAGAGCAGTGATGGGTTCAGGGAGGGATTTTTAAGGACAGGAGTGATGACGGCTGTTTTTACAGGGGTGGGAATGGTGCCAGGGAGATGTTTCTGATGTCTGTGAGTAGAGGGGCAAGCAGGTGGAGTTGGAAGTTAAGGGGAAGGGTAGGCTCGGTGTCAAGGGAGCAGTTGATGGGTTTCATATGGGTTATAATGGTGGTGAGAGAAGAGGGGGAGACAGATGAGAAGGTGTGGAGGGACGAATGGGTAGGGCTGGAATGTGAGGGGGAGACAGGGAGGGAGTGGCGGTTGAGTGGCACTTCAAGTCCAGCATCTCCTCCAGCATCGGAGGAGAGGATGGGTGAGGTGTGAGAGTGTGGATGGAGGGTGCAGATGAGGAAGAGGAGCCTGAAGTTGTCCTTGGCCTCCAAGATTGTCTTGGAGTGGAAGGATGATTTAGTGGAGGTGAGGGCAGAGCAGTAAGTTTCATAAATAAATTGAAATAAAGGAATTTAAAAGTTAAATCCAAACTCACTCTCTAACTCTCCAGCTATCTCTGATACATTGGAATTATTACCTCTTAAATTTAAAGAATCTGTCCCTGCTCTTAAAGCATAATATAACACATCACTCTGCCTCCTACTCACGGAAGTCCTCCTGGTACACCAACCACCTCCACGCCCTCAAGGCTGAGGTTTCCCCCTCTGTGAGGAAGCCCCTATGTGTATGTGTGTCAGTGTCTGTCTCAGTTACAGTAACTGGACGTTGTTGCTGCTGGACATGATGTGAGAAGCTGAGCTCTGGAGGAGACGCTGTCTTTCCAGTGACCCGGGACGTCTTTCCCACATGAAGGGCGCGATACAAGTATAACTTGTTGTTGTTGTTGTTAGGGTCAGTGTGTACCAGGCAGCTGACCGAGTAACTGACAAGTGAAAGGTGATAGACCAGTTGTAAGGAAGGATTATTATTATCTCTTAAACTAGAGGTGACATCACACATTAAAGTGGCCGTCGCACATAGTGAGTAGATTTTCAAATAAAATACCAACCAAAGCTGCTTCACAAACTGATGTTACTGTGTATTAAAAGTAAATATTAGGAGCTGGCTGAAGTATACTCTGTGAAGTGCTTTGACATGATAATGATGTGATAATAACAACAACAACAAAACTGAACTGATCGGAGGGTCTCATTAAGGGAAGGATAGGAGAGGAAGGAGTGAAGTTGGGAAGCAACGACTTGTTCAAGGACCTTGGAAAGAAAAGGGAGGTTGGAGATGGGCCAGTGTTTAGAATGCGGGGATGGGTCCAGGGAAGGTTTTTTTCAGGATGGGGGTGATCATAGCTGTTTTTAAGGAGATGGGAACCGTGCCAGACGATAGGGAGAGATTGATGGGCTGGAGATGGAGGCAAAATTCACCCTCGTCTTCAAATCCCTCCCCTCCTCTGCACCCCCCTCTCTGACCTCCTCTCTCCTCACAACAGTGCTCATTGCCTTAGTTGGGATTTCCGATCCCGAGGTTCAAATAATGACCCGACAATCCAATTAAGGTGTAATAGAGATTTATTAATCAAAGTAACACATACAAAACTAGTAAAATAATACTGCCACTACAAGTAACAGAACTTACACTACGAGTTTTGGAGCAGTCAGTCAGTCAGTCGGTTGCGATGGTTTCAGCACAGCTTCTCGGCGTTGGTTCGGCTGCCCTCTTTGTCCAGCTGGATCTGCTGCCTTACTTGCCTAAAGTCAGGATACTTATACTTTTTCGCCGAGGGATCTTCCCCCCTTCTGCTCCAATCAAGCATCTTAGCACATACCCAATGTACTCGACCCTTGCATATCCTTGTACCCATATCTTCTAGATACGCAAACCCTTTGAGATGAAACAGCTTGCTCACTATTCTTCAACACAGGACATCTTGCTTCTCCCTTCCAAGCCCAGAGCCTGTCTCTGTCTGTGTTCACAGAATACTGAGCAGCTTTATTTAGGTGCCCTCATGGAATGCAGATTTCTTGGGCCCTTCTTGCATCCTGTTCTATGCCTTCTCTCACCATCACAACTGACTGATTGTTGACTTTTGAGAACCAGGAGGGCTTATTCTGCCAATTCCTAAAATGTTATTAAAACTGTTTCTTTCTCCCGTTTCCTACCGCCATGCATATATGGTATTGATATACACACATAATAAATTAATTCTATTAATTCTTCTATTGCTCTTTTTACAAACTATATTAAAATCAACCTTTTCTAACACCTTTGTTCCTCTGGGTCTGGCCTCCTCCTTGTCCCCCGAATCCTCTGCTCCACCCTCGGTGAAACTTGCCCAAGGTTTTGCCCTACTGGGAATGAAACCCAGCTCTCTCCCTTGCGAGGCGAATGCTCTAACCATTGAGCTATAGGAATCCTTCATAAGAAACAGCATGAAACCATGGAAAATCTCATTTTTGATTACAAACAAATTTATATTTAATTTTCACCGTTTATATTGGGCGGATGTCTGGAAGTGCTTCTGACTAGACAACTTGGGCCTGTGTGGGGAAGAGCTTGGTGGAGAGAAGAAGGAAAATTCGGTTGATAAGGTAGGTCTTACTGCAAGATGCAAAAGTGGAGGCCTCTGAGGTGGAGAGACTTGGGATTTGAGTTGCAGAGAATGCAGACAGAGTAGATGAGAGCTCAGCCAACGACAGTGGGCAGAGAGAGACCTGACACAGATCTGATGGATTGTGGAGAATCACTGATGTAGAGTGAGGAGGAATGTGATACGCTAGAGGAGTCTGGTCCAGGAGAAGACCTGGGCTGTTGAAATCTGGATGGTCTGCAGTTGTGTAGGGAGGCGCTGGAGAGTGGGGTGAGCAGGAGAGGTGGAGGAGGGGAATGTGCAGGTGAGGGAAAGCCGAGAGAGTGAGCGCCCAGATGTAAAGTTTGAAAAACAGTTGGGGGTCTAACAAGACACTGAGGTTCCACACTGTGTCTCTGATATGAAGTGAACATCTGTACAGACCTGAGGAAGTCAGTCACCTGCTCACATTTGGAGATGGAGGTGAGGATGGAGGGAGCACGTGTGGGTGTGCAGAGCAGGTGGTTGGTGGTGGAGACGAGGAGCCTAATTAGTATCAAATGCGACCTTCACCACACTTTTTGCATTCTTCACAAGATCATCAAGTGCAGCATTCAGCAGCTTGTAGGTCAGAATAAATCCTGCTCCAAAGAGAGAACCCACAACTGGTACAAAATCGAGGGCCAGCTCTAGTGCGGAGATGGCAATGGCACCAGTTCCGAGCATTGACCTAGTAACTAGATCACTGTTTATCTCACCCACGAGGGGGTTTGTATTACGCTTTCAGATCCTCTCCAGGTTTACTAACTCTCCTGGCCAATCTTTCAAGAGAGGCATCATCCAGACACAAGCAGTGACGGAAATATATTATTGCTGTAACTAACAAAGCGATATCACAATCAAAGGACAACCCTGGAACTGGCACAGCTCTGACAGAAGCGGAAGCTACAGCCATCATCCAGACTCTTTTCTTTAAAATCCCCCTTTTCTGCTCCACAATTTCCACAGTTGTGTTTGGGAATGACAGGATGAAAACATCTTTCTTTATATCTGGGAGATCATTTGCAAGAGTTTCCCTTAATATAAGAAAATCAAACTGATCCAGTTTGAGGCTTGAGATGAGAAAAACAGATGGGAATTGAATCCCTGCCTTTTCCAAGTTACTGACACAATCCTTCCTGATCTTTTCCAGCTCTGCTTCTTCATTATAATCAATACCCTCCCCTCCAAGCCCATTTGGAGCTGCTCCCTCATCATTTCTCTGAAGACCTCTCATACTGTTGATAAAGCTGGATTTCCCTGCTCCTGATTCCCCTGTGATTGCAATGCTAAGCTCTGCAGACTCCAGATCCTGTAACTTCTTCTGGATCAGGAGAGTGACACCTTCAACTCCTCCTGTTTGAAAAGCAGCCTGAAGCTGCTTTAGTTCTTCCTGTTTGAAGGATTTGAGTGAGAAGGTGAAGCCATTTTCTCTCTGAAAGGAAAGAAATATTGTACATTATACACAATTTGAAGCCTAAACCCATTGCCCCCATTGATAAAGCTTCTGTCCAGAGTGATATTAGGTCCTCAGAGCCAGGATAACAGATCCCATCACTGCTCTGTACTGATGTGTCCAGCTATGGAAGTGGTGAGAGAACCAGCCTCTGTGCCCTGGGCACCACGGCAAGTGGAGATCCTCGGTTGAGAGAACATTTTGGCTTCGTTGAGAAATGTAGAACAGAGACTCAACATCTGTGTGTGTGCAGATCTTTATTTACCACAGACAGTCTCCAGCGTCCTGTAATAGAGCGGGATTCCCTTCAGTGCCGGCCTCAGACTGTGGCTCTGTATCTCTGGGATACTATTTTTTTGGTTAGCCAGGTATCTATAATAATAATAATAATAATCTTTGCATTTGATATAGCGCTTTTCATGTCGGGAGGACGTCCCACAGCGCTTCACAGAACACAGTGTAAAGTGAATTCACTGTACATTTGTGGGCAAACGCGGCAGCCAATTGCGCACAGCAGTGTCCCACAAACAGTCGTAGATTGAAAATGACCAATTTATTATTGTTTTTGGTTTTGGAGGGATTATTATTAGGTGTGTGGAGTAATGAAACTTGCCCAAGGTTTGGCTCTGCCTGGAATTCAACTCAGGTCTCTCGCTTGCAAAGCGAGTGGTCTAACCACTGAGCTACAGGACTCCGTCTGACACATGAGGAAACCCATCACCAAACTTAACAGTATCCAAGCTGAGAATTCCACACATCCCACCAACACATGGAAATCCCAGAGTTAGATTGTTGGAATGGAATGTGCACTCTCTCCCTGGAGGGACACATCCTGTTTACATAATTCCATAGGCACAGGTGAGCAAAAGCCAAGGCTTGTGGATCCCAGAGTGTGCGTTGGGGTAACTGGTGGAGTCTAACCAAATAAAACTGCATAACTTGGTATTGGTATTGCTGTCTGGCAAGCTTTCCCGCTGCTTGTCCAGCGAGGAACACCCTACCCCTGTGGGTTTGGTTTGTACGATGAACAAGAGCTGAGTGGAATGACTTCCTGCCCCAGTGGACAATGGAAGGCTCTGCCCTTCCAGGTCCTGCTGATGAGCCAAGTGGGTTGTGCCCTGGAATACTGCGGACCTGCCTGGCTCAGGAACCGGACAAGAGACTACCAGATACGGTCAGGCTTGTCACCTTGGAGCTCCAAGGAGACCTCGCTTACCTCTCCCCCAAGGAGCTATATTATAATGTTTGCAGCACAGAAGGATGTCATTGAGCCCATTGTGTCTGTGCTGATGCTTTGTAGCTGTCTCCTCAAATCCTACTCTCCTGCTCTTCCCCAAATTGTCTATGATATTCTTTCCTGAAGAGAAGATAACTGATCACTACTGAAACCTCGTTGCTACAATTATTGTATGTTGCAATTGTGGGTTGTTGTCCTTTGCACAATCATTGACTGGAACTACAATCAAGAAAGACTTGTTTAACATCCAAACTGTGCACACACTATTTCATTAATAATTAAATAGTAAATACAAAGTTTCATGACAGTGTATCTTTCTCTCTATCACCCTTTTAAACATCCCATTTAGCTCCATCTCTATGGCCTTTGGGCCAATGCATTCCACATTATCACAACCCTAATATTTTCCTGATATAATACAATACAAATTACAATTGTATAGCGCCTTTAACTTTGGGAGGACGTCCCAAGGTGCTGGAGAGTCAGGAATTTGGACCCGAGCTGAGGGTCGGGATTGGGATCTGACATCTAACCATTCTACCTCTAATATTGATATTTGGCCTCTTATTTAAATTACAGAGAGTACCGGCAGTGTGTTTACAGACAACAAAATACAATACAAATTCATAATCAGATAGCACCTTTCACATAGTGAGGTCACACTAAAGAGCTTAGCAGTATTGGCTGCACCTGAGCTGGGGGGGAACCTAAGGGCAATGGAGTGGGAAAGGTTTGGTCAAAGTAGTAAATCTAGATGGACCTTGAATGAGGCAAGACCATGGAGGGATTTCATGGTGAGAACAGGGATTTTGAATTTTATCCGCTGGGGATGTGGAGCCAATGCAGCTGAGCGAGGAGGGTGATGCTCGGCATGAGGAGCCTGGTTAGGGAAATGACACGGGTTTCAGAGCGCTGGATAGTTTAGAATCATGGAATCATCCAGCACAGAAGGAGACCATTTAGCCCCTCGTGCCTTTCCTTTGAAAGAGCTCACACCATAACCCTGCAAAGTTTTCCCTTTTTAAATACCTTTTAAATAAGATTGTCTCAAGAAGAATGAAAAGAGAGCTTAGGAGAAATGTTTTAACACAGAGAGTTGTTGTGACTAGAATGTCACCAGTCGGCTGTTGGAGGCAGAGTCCATTAGGGGTTTGACATGAACATAAGAGATAAAGGCTTGAAGGGGAATGGGGAGAGGACGAGGCAGTGGGATTGAAAGGACAGATGCTTGAGATCTGGGGCAGACGTGATGGGCTGATTGGCTTCATTCTGCTCTGTAAATTACTTTATAATTTTCACACCTTTTCAGAGCAGTTTGGACTAAGTATTCCTTTTTTAAAAGTGATATGAAAGTGTATTATATCAGTGAATATTGGATTCCAGAGGCCAACTGGACATCACTTTCTTTGGAGCCAGACCTAAACTCCAATTTAATTTTCCTAATCTAAAACCAACCTAAATAATGGAAGTGGAGAGGGGTTCATTTCCTGCTTCACAGGATCCACGGATCTGTTTGGAAATGACAGGAGGAAAACATCTTTCTTTTTATCTGGAAGATCATTTCCAAAAGTTTTCTTTAATACAGGAAAATCAAACTGATCCAGATGGAAGCTTGAGATCAGAAAAACAGATGGGGATTGAATCCCTGCCTTTTCCAAGTTACTGACACAATCCTTCCTGATCCTTCCAGCTCTGCTTCTTTGTTATAATCAATACCCTCCTCTCCAAGCCCATTTAGATCATTGTCAACATTTGACCGAACAGAGTAGAAGTTCTTGCCCAGACGTTTAATCTCCTTGGCGAGCAACGTATCATTCTCAGTGAATCTCGTGTGTGAGATAATGATGAAGAAATCATATCTTTTAAACTGCATCTTTTTCACATATTGATCAGCTTTGAATGTTGAAGTTCCAATTCCAGGCAAATCCCAGAAATAAACACCTTTCACAGTGGGATGTGAATATCCGGTTCCCTCCAGTGTGGTTTCTATGTTACCAGTTGGAGCTGCTCCTTCATCATTGCTCCGAAGACCTCTCATAGCATTGATAAAGGTGGATTTCGCTGCTCCTGAAACCCCAGTTACTGCAATGTTAAGCTCTACAGACTCTAAGTCCTGTAACTTTTTCTGTATCAGATGTGTGACTTTGTCTTCTCCACATGTTTGAAAAGCAGCCTGAAGCTCATCAAGCTCTTCCTTGCTGAAACATTTGGAGTCTGGAAATGAAGCCATTTTATATCTGAAAGGAAAATAAACATTGGAAATTGTACAAATCTTCAAGCCTAACCCCATTACTCTGTTGATAAAGCTTCTGTCCAGAGTTAAATTAGAAGCTGTGTGACTGTACAGGAGAGGGGTGGGCTGGGGATCTCATTGCACAGTTTAGACTCACTGACAAACTAATGTCAGCTGGCCCGATAGGGAAGCCCTCTTCTTAATATAAGTCAAATATACAGTAAAACATTGCCTTTCACGCGGGTGGTTTCAGAGCGCTTAACAGTGGTGGAGTCAAACCCTGAGCTGGAAATAGGGAGGAGGTCAAAAAGGAAGTTCTTCAGGTTTGATCTGAAGATGGGCAATGAGGGGGCACGACTGAGGGATTGAGGCAGAGATTTCAGGAGTTTCAGGGTTTACTGAAAGCTCAGCCCAAATGGTTAAGCCGAGGGGACAAGGAACAGCAACGTACAACAACATTTATATAGCCCCTTTATACGGGGTAGCCTCCTGCAGCAATTGACAGTGGCAGAATCTGCAGAGGGAAAGCGAGGGGAGAGGTGACCATAAGCATGTGGAAAAAGGAAGGCCTTTAGGCGGGATTTGAAAGTGGGGATGTGGAGGGATTGAGGAAGATAGTTCCAGATATTCGGGCGAGATTGGCTGAAGGCACAGCCACTGATGGGGGAGCAGAGGGAACGAGGGACAAACGTGCGGCTGGAGCCATCCGAGCAGTGGGGTGGGGAGTGGAGTGGAAGCAGGTTGGAGAGGAGGAGAGCTGTTAGAGCATGAATTGATTTGTAAGTTAGTGTGAGGATCGTGAAATTGATCTGTTCGTGCAGCCTGACGAGGATGGGGTGATGTGGGTGCAGTTTGTTACAGCCACAGAGTTATGAATCAGTTGGTTGTTATGGGTGGTGGAGCTGAGGAGACCGGCAGGAAGGGTGTTGGAAAAATCGAAGCAGGAGGTGATGGATGTAGGAATTTTCCTATTCTCGTCACTGATCATTAAACAGGATCAGACAGAATCAAACACCACGCTAGCTCATAGCTGCCAGACAAGTCTGTCCATGGGGACAAAAAATCCAGGAAGAGATTATTATTTGAACAGAAGGAAAATAATATGTCTGGAAAATGAAAAGGAACTGGGGGCCCTGATTGACAATAAATTGAAGCTCCCACAACAATACTCTGTGGCAGAGAGTAAAGCAAACCAGATGCTGGGATATATCAAAGGATCAACAGCAAACCAAAATAGTGGGGTATTCCTGCCACTGTATAAATCATTGGTGAGACCATACTTAGAGACTGTGTACAGTACAAAAAGGAAAAATCGAGAGGATACAGAGGAGAGTAATCAAAAAATGGAGGGTCTGGACTATGAGGACGGACTAAGTAAATTGAGCATGTTCATGCCGGAAAAGAGAAGATTGAGAGGCGACATGATTGCTGTCTTTAAGATTCTAAAGGCGCTACACAATGTAGATCATTGTGTATACGCCCAACGCACAACCTTTTTTGGGTGTAGGGCTCCTGGGAGAAGTTTTGAATACACAGCGGGCACTCTATGAATTTATGTGTATGAACCAAATGGAGTAGTACAGAACAAAAGGGAATAAAATTCCCAATTTAAAAATTAGGGACATTATTTACATGCATATTATATACTACGTATGTGTATAACCTTTAACATCAAACAGAAAGTCAGTTTAGTTACTATTAATGTGACACCTGGCACTGCATTTCTTCCACCAACATGTTGAAATCTGGATTGTATGATGAGCTTGCAGCTCGCAGACAATCATTTAGATGTGAATCTGTAAGTCTGGATCTTTGACTTAATATACTTCATATTGGCCAACAGTGACTCGCAGAGGTACATTGATCCATAGCATCAATTTATCCTCAATGCTGCACTTCTTAGAAGAGGTTACTTATTTTTGTCAACAAGTTTCCAGAAGTTTCATCTTTTGCATGGGACTGTAGAATAATGTCACTTTCAATGTTTATTATTCTAACATCCACTTTTCTGATGTCAGCTTGAAACAATGTCTCTCAGAGGCATCAACTGTACTGAATGGGTTTGCAATCAATTTCACAATTGGTGCAATTGTATTAAATTCTTGAACTGTCCGACTGAATTCTTGTTGTAGCTTCTCAAGATGTCCCACAAAAAACTGAGGATCAGAAGCGTTTTCATCAGCAGTTTCAACAATTACTTTCTTCAGACGTGGGAAGTGTAGAAGAGACTTCTTCATCAAGTGAGACATCCATAAGTTCAGTTTACTTTTGAATGCGCTTACTAAGCTGACCACTTCAGCAATTTGTTTGGCTTTCGTCTGAAGTTCCAGATTTAACATGTTTAGTTTCAGAGTTAAATCTGTGAGAAATGCCAAGTCAAGCAACCAAGACCGGTCATTCAGTTGTTCGTATTTTTCTTTTCTGGACTCCAAGAACACCTGAATCTCTGGCTTGAGATCTAGGAATCTTGCAAGAACTTTCCCTGTACTCAACCTCCGAACTTCGGGATGCACTATCAGGTCTGTATACTCAGCATCAACGTCTTCTGGAAGAGCTTTGAAAAGTCTGTGCTGCAAACGTTCGTCAGAACGTTCTGAAGAAGGGTCGTGGACCCGAAACGTTGACTCACTTTCCTTTCTCCATAGGTGCTGCCTAACCTGCTGAGTTTTCCCAGCTCTCTCTGTTTTAGTTTCAGATTCCAGCATCTGCAGTATTTTGTGTTTTGATCCTAACTAATACCACTAGTTGGGCAGTGTCTGACACGTCTGTGGTCTCATCAAATTGTAATGGAAAGTAGTCACGTGTTTGAAGGTCACTCATCAACTGAAATCATATATTTTGTGAAATAGACTCTATTCCTATTACAGTATTATGTCACATTTGCAACTCATATATCAACAACATGATTTCCATCTTATTGCTAAAACCTTCAAAAAGAGAGTCTGCAGCAGACAGCATCGCCTCCTTCACCAGCTCTCTGTCGTCGAAAGGTTTGTTCCATTTAGCAAGGACATGAGCAACTTTAAAAGACGCTATCGTACAATTTTTGACTGATGAACATACTCAGTAAAAACCCACTGCTGAATTGCAAGTTTGGATTTTAAGTCACTCACTCTCTTCTTTCTTACAACAGAATTGTGTGGGAAATCTGTGTCAAAGTCCTTGTGATTCGTTCGAAAGTGCCTTTGGACATTATGTTTCTTGGGTACTAGCACGGCACAACAAATCCACCACTCCCTCACCCCTCAGGCCGCCAAAACTCTTGTTCATGCCTTCATCACCTCCAGGCTGACTATGCAAACTCCCCGCTTGTCGGCCTTCCCAACCCCTCCCTCCTCAGGCTGCAGATAATCCAGAACTCTGCAGCCCGTGTCCTCTCCCACACCAAACTCCGTGACCCCATCTCCCCCATTCTCTCCCGACTCCTTCAGAGGATCCAGTTCAAGTTCCTGATCCTCACTTACAAAGCCCTCCATGGTCTCGCCCCACCCTACCTCTGCGAACTCCTAAGCTCCTACCAACCTGTCCATTCCCTCCGCTCAGCCGTCTCCGGCCTACTCCACGTCCCCCGACCCACCCGCCCCACTATTGGCGGGAGAGACTTCAGCCACTCTGACCCCAACCCCTGGAATTCCAACCCCCAGTCACTCCGCCTCGCCCCCTCCGTAGCCTCCTTCAAGTCCCGCTTCAAGAGCCTCCTCTTCGACCATGCCATCGCCCACCCCCCCTTCCCCTCCCCTCCCTTCTCCCCCCCTGACCCCAGCTCGGGTCTGAAATGCTGTCACTGTCCAGCGCCTTGGGACGTCCTCCCGACATGAAAGGCGCTATAGACATGTAATCTTGTTGTTGTTGTAAACACACACACTTTCCTTTAAAATTAACGAAGCAGAATGGCTCTTCTGATTCACTGTTGAAATTATATGTTATTAGTTTTTTGGTAAATCCACTCATATTACCTGAAAACATGAGGGCTACACTAGAAGGACGAGCAGAGCTTGTAGCTGAGTGTGTGTCAGCAAGCCAGCCGGCAGGTTCGGAATAGGAAAATTAAACTTCTTTCATGTTATGATTATTTTCCAATTCATGCGGGTTGGGGTTGGGCACCCCTAGATCATGAAGGGGCAGAAGGATAAACTCGGGAACTACAGGCCAGTCAGCCTAATGTCAGTAGTGGGGAAACTGTTTGAGACTATCATCCGGGACAAAATAAATCTTCACTTAGAAAAATATGGGTTAATGAAGGACAGCCAACATGGATTTGTAAATCATGTCTAACAGACCTGATAGAGTTTTTGGATGATATAACGGAGAGGGCGGATGAAGGTAGTGCAGTTGATGTAGTTTATATTATAGCATTTTCAAAAGGCGTTTGATAAAGTGCCACATACGAGATTGTCAGCAAAATAGAAATCCGCGTTAAAGGGACAGTGGCAGCGGATACAGAACTGGCTGGGAGACATTTTGGGAGGAAGAATGAGGAGAGGCAATATAAGCTGATGGTACAAACTTAAAGGGGGTGAAGGAACAGAGAGACCTGGGGTTCATATAGTAAATCTTTGAAGGTGGCCGGACAGGTAGATAAAGCTGTTAAAGAAGCATATGGGATACTGGGCTTTATAAATAGGGGCATAGAGTACAAAGGTCAGGAAGTTATGAGGAACCTTGATATAAAACACTGGTTAGGCCTCAGCTCGAGACTGTGTTCAGTTCTGGGCACCGCACTTTAGGAAAGATGTCAGGGCATTGGAGAGGGCGCAAAGGAGATTTCCCAGGATGGTACCAGGAATGAGGGACTTGAGTTATCAGAAAAGACTAGAGAAGCTGGGATTATTCTCCTTGGAGCAGAGAAGGCTAAGAGGAGACTTTTATAGAAGTTTTGACAAATTATGAGGAGATTTGATAGGATGAACAAGGAGAAACTATCTCCACTGGCGGGTGGGTCGTTAACCTGAGGACTCCAATTTTAAAATAGTTGTTAAAAGAAACAGAGGGGAGGTGAGGAGAAATTTTTTTAC